GGGTGGCAGTAGGAGTGACAACAGTGAGATATTGGCTGAAATCAGGAAGTTCATGGGAGGAGCAAAGAGTTCAAGGTTTAGGACAAACAAGGTTCAAAGTAAGAACATTCAAAGAATTGTCCAGGGAGCTGTCCAGCATCCTAGGTGGCTCAGTAAGAATAGGCATCGCCAGACACAGCAGAGGTGTCAAGAATGGACTCAGCACTGGTGGTGGGACTCACCTGCCGTGTGGGCTGCAGTACCAGGGCTGACCAGTGGGTGCTCTCAGCAGCCAGAAGCTCACTCCAGGCAATCAGCCAACACCTGGGGCTGTTTGCAGGGGGTGTATTTAAGGAATGGCCAGACCTGTGATCAGGGCCTTGGTGTATGTTTTCCCATGAGCCCCTGTACCTGGTATCCTGTGTTCCTGCCTCGTTGCTGACCCTGCTTGATCCTGACCTCTGCTGACCGTCTCCTGTTGAACCCCTGGCTTGCCTGACCATCCTTCTGCCTGATCCCCTGTACCACGCTGCCCATGAGTTACTGAACCCGGCTTGTGACCCTGACTATTCTCTGCCTGCTCCTCCGGTACCTCACTGTCCGCACGTTGCTGACCTGGCCTGCCTGACGCTACTCAAACGATCCATCCATCCATCCCACACGGATCAGTCCCTGTTACCAGGTCTGCCAGCCTCTTCACATCAGGCTTTCCCACAGTACATACCCTCGGCGGACCCCTCTACCACAGCTGGGTGCACTCAGGGGCCGCGACCTGGTCTCAGTCCTGCGCCAAGTCCGTCCCCACCATCAGGGGCTCTGGTGAAAAGGCAGACTGGGGCTTAGACTCCGCGCCCTGGGGAATCCTGGTCTGTGGGTACTAGAGATCCCACCGGGTGGTGCCTGACAGTACCTAACGGCCTGCCTGACCATTCCACCTCTCCAACCCTGACTACGCCTGTGTTCCTGAAGCCTGCTACTTCCCTGTGTCAGTCCACACATTTCTGGTCACACCCGGATCCCTAACAAGAGGTGCTCTGGGCTCAAGTCTAGGGCCCTGAAAATCATACTAGTGGTAGATGTGCTTTAAGATCACGGTCACCATGTTGTAGGCCAGACATAAACCAAAGCATCTCACGAAAAAATAAGCAGATGTTACCTGCTCAATTCTTGACCAATCCACTTTAAAAGGTCTGAAGTTTATCCTCGTGATGGTAGCCATCCAAAACTGCTTCCCACCCCTCAGTTTTGCTCTCCAGTTCCGGCAGCGAAAATGTTACATCTTACAGCTTTGATTGCTACCTCGGTTATACCAAGTGCTGATCGGTACTCTACAGATCCAGAGCAAGGCACATGTTGACCTTTCTGAGCAATTTGCATTTGGCAGGTGCTGTTGCTGTGGCGGTTTTTCTTGTCACAATGCAGGTGTCTCACCGCAAGACAACGGCAACTAATTACAATGTTCTGCGATTATATTTCTTTGGCACTTCCGACTAAAAAAAAAAAGTGGAAAAACAAACTTTTCTGTCAAGAGGCCGCTGCAAACCCTCTAAAACAAAATATACTTTGATACGGCAGACTTAAAAAGTCCTTGCAATTTAGGAGGGAAGGCACTCGCCCTCTTTTTTTTTTTTCGGTTACCTTTTTTTTGGGTGTTTCAAAAAAGTGAAATAAAGTGAACCTTTCAATGATTTTTGCAATTGCAGGAATAATCTCCCAACATGTCGCAACAAACAGTAACAGGATTATTTTCATAAACGCTCCACCTTTTATCATCGAAAAGCCATCCTTTAGCTCCAGGCCAGTGGTTTTGCCTAGGCAGAGATGATGTCATCAGTCTGCTGCAGGCCTATCATGTACCTGGTGATGGAAGCCAATGGAGAGAGGGCTTCCCTAGAGGCCAAGTTCCAGACTCCCCTGAGAGTGGGACAGCGGGAGTCAGGCCCAAAGTTGCACAGGTCACCTGTAGAAGTGCTGGTTGGTGGTCCACTCAGAAGCACAGCTGGTGCATGGAGATAGGTCTGCAGACAGGGGGCGCCTGTGCGTGGTATGCAAGCCCTTCCGGGATTTAGATGTTTACTGGGTAGTCGGTTCAAGCCAAGGTCAGGTACCAGGTGGGAATCAGAGCAGACGTAGTCAGATGGGATAGCCGAGGTCATACACAGAGGAGCGAGAGAGAGAGAGAGATCCACAAGTCAGGCCGAGGTCAGATCAGGGGTAAAGCAGAGTAGACGGGTCCAGGAGCAAGCTGAGTCAGTAACAGGAAATCACGGGTCAAAGTCACAGGAAACAGGAACAGGGCACGGGGAGCTAGAGATTATCCAGCAACTTGAGGAAGTGATGAGCCTCCTTATAAAGGCCGTTTGGCACCAAACTGAGGCTGATGTGTCCTTCTGCGGCCACGCAGATTACGGGCAGAAATGCCAGATCTTCCAGAACTTCTGCCGTGGACAGGACCCTGACAAGGCCGGAGGAAGCAAAACTTGCGGTGAGGTTTTGGGGTGGAAAATGTCTTAAGCTAGAAATCCAACCTAGCACTAACTATGCTTAAAAATTATCTCAACCCTTCTGCAACCTAGCCCAAAGAAGAAGGATGTACTCTTACCTGCTCTGGTCACGTGATCCCCTGTGTCAGTGAAAGGCAGCTGCAGAGGATAGGGAGCACTCAACAACAGCTGGGAATTCTGGAAGCCATGACGTCACCCACCAGCTTCCAGTCCCAACTGTTGTTGCCGCTCCCTCCTCTCCCCTGCAGCCATTGCCCATTGACCTGGAGCTAAAACCAGAGCTGCTGGACCACAGGACCAGACCGTAGCGGACAAAAAAATAGGTAAGTATACAGATCTTTTTTAAACAGGGTAGACAGGATAAGTAGCAGGACAGGAGAGGATGCTGCTCAGAGTCCCTGGGGGTAATTAGCACATGCTTGCACAACTTTTTTAAATTTAGAATACGGAGCAGAGTCTGCTCCTAATTAACCAAAACGGTGCAATCAGGAGCAATCAATCAGTTTTCTGTTCTGTGGCCAAGACAGGCAGCATAGGGAACAGGAGAGCTGGAGCTGCATGCTCTTACCTCTCTACCGTTTCTGCCCCCCACTTGGCTCAGAGCAGGAGGGGTGAAGAGTGTTTCTAATGTTGCAGTCCCTGCTCATGTAGTGTAACTACTGCACGAGCAGAGAAACAGATATGAGCTGTCTGCTGAAAGCTCACATCTCTTATCACAAGACTGCACCTGGAGGTTACCTATATAGAAAACTGCCATATCCCCTCAGTTAATCAGGTACAGACATGCTCTAGTTTCTATTTGACTCGGAAATAAAAACTGGTGCAGATAGATCTGAAACAGCTTTTGATGACGCTCCAGGTCCACATTCCAATGGCCTCTGGTGACTTGCACTGAAAGGGTGTCGGTATGGAGAAAGCCTGTCCTTGCTCAGTATACGCACATAAACCAGGAGAAATCCCAGAACCGCACGCTGGAAAGATGTCAGATGTCAAACAAGTAAGTGAAAGCGGTGAAAGCATAGTTGAGGAACAAGCCAAAGGACAGTAATGAATGGCTGAAGGTTGGGATCAAAAGGAATCATAGTTGAGGAACAAGCCAAAAGATTGATAATGGATGGCTGAAGGTTGGGATCAAGCGGAAGCGTAGTTGAGGAACAAGCCAAAGGTTGATCATGAATGGCTGTAGGTTGGGATCAAGCGGAAGTGTAGTCAAGGAGCTAGCCAAAGGTTGATAATAAGTGGCTGAAGGTTGGGATCAAGTGGAAGCGTAGTTGAGGAACAAGCCAAAAGGTCGATAATGAATGGCTGAAGGTTGAGATCAAGCAGAAGCATAGTCAAGGAAGAAGCCAAAGGTTGATAATGAATGGCTGTAGGTTGGGATCAAGCAAAACATAATCGAGGAACAAGCCAAAAGGTCAAGAACAAATGGCTGTAGGTTGGGATCAAGTGGAAGCGCAGTTGAGGAACAAGCCAAAAGGTCAATAAGGAATGGCTGAAGGTTGGGATCAAGCAGAAGCGTAGTCAAGGAACAAGCCAAAGGTTGATAATGAATGGCTGTAGGTTGGGATCAAGCAGAAGCATAATCGAGGAAGAAGCCAAAAGGTCCAGAACAAATTGCTGTAAGTTGGGATCAAGCATAAGCGTAGTCGAGGAACAAGCCAAAGGGTGGTAACAAGTGGTAGTGAAGGTACAAACGGCAGCAGGTGTGACAAAAGTGAGATATTGGCTGGAGAGAGCACAATAATCTGGCAAACAGAAGTGAAAAGGCATAGCTTAGATAGGAAGTTCATGGGAGGAGCAAAGGGTTCAAGGTTCATCAAAAACAAGAGACAAGGCAGGAAACTCCAAAAAAATCAGGCAGGGAGCTGTTCAGCATCTCAGGTGGCTTAGCAAGAAGAGACATCATTAGACAAGTCAGATTTCAGAGTTTCAGACCTGGGTCCTTACACTTTAACACAAGCACACAAAAACAGGAGGCATCTGGCAAGGTCAAGCCTCCTCCAACCTTCAATGCCTAAAAAAGTATCAATTAGCACAAAAAAAAAGGGTTTTATTTTGTTTTTTTTTTTAAAGCTCATTGGATTTTCTTTGAAATGTACATGAACTTCATTTCTAGTAAATAATCTTAGCAAAAACACAGTCTGTCTACATGAGCAGCAAGGATGCAGATTGGAGGGAGGTAGGGGGGCAGGTACAAAACAGGAAAAACCTCTTCATCCACTGTGGCTGTTTCACAGAGCCTAGATATGGACACATGGGACAGGCAGCTCCTCCATTGCTGGATTCTTCATTTTAGTGTGATAGATTTGAGCTGGAGGTTTCTCACGGCCAAGTACAAGATCTCCTCTATGGTAAAGCGGACTGGAAAGGAGAGAGGATTTCCAGTAGGTAATTGTATGGTGATCTTGTCTAGCTCAAACTGGAAGCAAACCGGGGTGTCTGATCCCTCCTGGAAGGGGAAGAAACTTTCCCTCTGCTCTTCTCCCTAGACATTGTCCACCATTGAGTTCAAGACTATCATGCGCTGGTCTTCAAGATAGTCAAATCGAGGACTAAAGTGCAGCACAAGATTCTTCTCATCTGTTCCCAAGATGATGGCAAACTCTTTACAGTCCTCCAGAATGAAGCCCTCCACCTCCACGAAGTGACCAGGTTTGTGGCCGATGTTATAAAAGGAAACAATATTGTCTGCCATCCTGCTTCCTTGAGTTGGAGGTTTCTCACGGCCAAGTACGAGATCTCCTCTATGGTAAAGCGGACTGGAAATGAGAGAGGATTTCCGGTAGGTAATTGTATGGTGATCTTGTCTAGCTCAAACTGGAAGCAAACCGTGGTGTCTGATCCCTCCTGGAAGGGGAAGAAACTTTCCCTCTGCTCTTCTCCCCAGACATTGTCCACCATTGAGTTCAAGACTATCGTGCGCTGGTCTTCAAGATAGTCAAATCGAGGACTAAAGTGTAGCACAAGATTCTTCTCATCTGTTACCAAGATGATGGCAAACTCTTTACAATCCTCCGGAATGAAGCCCTCCACCTCCACGAAGTGACCAGGTTTGTGGCCGATGTTATAAAAGGAAACAGTATTATCTGCCATCCTGCTTCCTTGAGCTGGAGGTTTCTCACGGTCAAGTACGAGATCTCCTCTATGGCAAAGCAGACTGAATGAGAGAGGATTTCCGGTAGGCAATTGTATGCTGATCTTGTCTAGCTCAAACTGGAAGCAAACCGTGGTGTCTGATAACTCCTGGAAGGGGAAGAAACTTTCCCTCTGCTCTTCTCCCAAGACATTGTCCACCATTGAGTTCAAGACTACCGTGTGCTGGTCTTCAAGATCAAATCGAGGACTAAAGTGTAGCACGAGATTCTTCTCATCTGTTCCCAAGATGATGGCAAACTCTTTACAGTCCTCCGGAATGAAGCCCTCCACCTCCACGGAGTGACCAGGTTTGTGGCCGATGTTATAAAAGGAAACAATATTGTCTGCCATCCTGCTTCCTTGAGTTGGAGGTTTCTCACGGCCAAGTACGAGATCTCCTCTATGGTAAAGCGGACTGGAAATGAGAGAGGATTTCCTGTAGGTAATTGTATGGTGATCTTGTCTAGCTCAAACTGGAAGCAAACCGTGGTGTCTGATCCCTCCTGGAAGGGGAAGAAACTCTCCCTCTGCTCTTCTCCCCAGACATTGTCCACCATTGAGTTCAAGACTACCGTGCGCTGGTCTTCAAGATAGTCAAATCGAGGACTAAAGTATAGCACAAGATTCTTTTCATCTGTTCCCAAGATGATGGCAAACTCTTTACAATCCTCCGGAATGAAGCCCTCCACCTCCACGAAGTGACCAGGTTTGTGGCCGATGTTATAAAAGGAAACAATATTGTCTGCCATCCTGCTTCTTTATCAAGGACACAAAAAAAATGTTTGAAGCATCACTTAACACCCAGCATTGGATATCAACGGGAAATGCTCTGATCCTGCCGTAGGTTTTTTTTTATTTTAAGGCACATCTCTCGTTTAACAGGATTGCGGGCGTAAAAAGCTTTTTTGTGGTGCCAACCACTTTCCACGAGGGGTGGGAAGCTTTAGTCATCATTTTTTTTTACTCTAAAATCTTGAGTACAAAAAAATTGGAGCACATCTTGGTGGCCCCTGCTGAGCCGCTCTGAGTAACAACAAAACAAGGCAAATAATTAAGAGAGGCGATTTGCGGTCTGCAGTCTCTATTGACCTTAATGGCACGGAAATTGGCTCTTGTGTAGCCGCTGCCTGTTAGTGATGGAAAACTGGCCAACGTTGAAAGACTAATTGCAGCGTAGTGGCACACCGTGTGTACAAATTGACTTTCGTATTTCAAGTCCCCCGTGGGTAAGAGGATGGAGCAGCTTTGTATAGCAATAGCTAATTGGTGGAGCCAGCAATAAAAATGCATTAAACGCTAACTACGCCCACAGCTCAGCCTTTCCATATTGTGCGTTTGCTAGATAAAGCGCATGCTGACTTCTTGGATTTCATGGGGATTCCAGCAGCGAGATCTCCCCGGCAGAGTTCGTAGTTCCATCCAAATGTCGTTACAAAGCCAAAGGATGGTGTCATGCAACCTTGATGGATTCTAAACAGAGAATGTGTGGGCAAAAAAAAAAGAAAAATTGATATGTCGCACATGCAGTGTGTCATCCCTTCAAAAACACTGAAAATACAGAAACCTACCAGCTGATCTGGCAGAAATTCAGTGATCTCCGAAATATCTGTTTGAGCTGACAACACAATGCCAATGCTGCACTGTCTAGTGTTGTCAGCCCTGCCTACCCCCAATCCTTCTCTGTCCCTCTATGTGGACATACACTGATTTCACTCCCAACACGACTGTCGGATTCCCAAGCCTAACTACACCGCATGTTGGCAAAAGGCTCTTGGGAGATGTAGCTCTGGGGGGGAGGGTATTAGTGGGCTTTCCTCAATGGGAACGTACCTCCAAACTGCTGTAAGAACTATAAAAGCCTGGGGGGCTGGACTGAGGCTCTAACTTGCCATTATACTGCCCCAGCCTGCCACTATCTATACTGCCCCAGCCTGCCACTATCTATACTGCCCCAGCCTGCCACTATCTATACTGCCCCAGCCTGCCACTATACTGCCCCAGCCTGCCACTATACTGCTCCAACTTGCCACTACACTGCCCCAGCCTGCCACTATACTGCCCCAGCCTGCCACTATACTACCCCAACCTGTTATATACTGCCCCAGCCTGCCACTATACTACCCCAACCTGTTATATACTACCCCAGCCTGCCACTATACTGCCCTAACCTGTCACTATACTGCTGTAACTTGCCACTATACTGCCCCAGCCTGCCACTATACTGCCCTAACCTGCCACTATACTGCTGTAACTTGCCACTATACTGCCCCAGCCTGCCACTATACTGCCCCAGCCTGCCACTATACTGCCCCAGCCTGCCACTATACTGCCCCAGCCTGCCACTATACTGCCCTAACTTGCCACTATACTGCCCCAGCCTGCCACTACACTGCCCCATCCTGCCACTATACTGCCCTAACCTGCCACTATACTGCCCTAACTTGCCACTATACTGCCCCAGCCTGCCACTACACTGCCCCATCCTGCCACTATACTGCCCTAACCTGCCACTATACTGCTGTAACTTGCCACTATACTGCTGTAACTTGCCACTATACTGCTCTAACTTGCCACCACTATACTGCCCCAGCCTGCCACTATACTACCCAAGCCTGCCACTATACTACCCAAGCCTGCCACTATACTACCCCAGCCTGCCACTATACTGCTCTAACTTGCCACTACACTGCCCCAGCCTGCCACTATACTGCTCTAACTTGCCACTACACTGCCCCAGCCTGCCACTATACTGCTCTAACCTGCTGCTACACTGCTCCAGCATAACTACAGCTCTCTCATATATGTGTAATTAAAGTATGGCATTAGGGTAATAACACTCTCTTTGTATAACCACGCCTGTTTTAAATGAATGCACCATCCCTAAATAAAGTATATTCTCCGTCTACAATGGTTTTCTGGATGCATCGCAAAAAAAAAGGTGACCCTGGAAACGTTTTTTAAAATGTGGACAACTGTGCTGAACTCCTTCTTCCATTCCTGCAATGCACACAGACTTGGCAAAGGCAGTAGAGCTCCTATATCAGTGGGAATAATAGTGCCCCAAGGACCAGATAAAGGCTAGGAAAGGGCTACATCCAGCCCACGGGCCACAGGTTGGAGACCACTGATCAAGAGGGAGAATTGCAGGTAAATTTGGCTAATTCTTGGACATACACTTTTAATGTAAAACCGATATCTTAGTCAATGCAGTATTCTCTGTGATACAGCGACATCTTTTCCTATGGCTCTGTAAGAAGCTTCTGTGCCTGACTTTTTTTTAGCGACTCTAGAGAAGCTCACAGCGTGCAGCGAAAACAGAGCAATCCGGGAAAAGAGCCGGTACACCTGTGCAAGTCTGAAGGGGAGGAGTGGGTACACCTGTGAAAGACTAAAGGGGAGGAGTCGGTACACCTGAGCAGGACTCAAGAGAAGGAGAAGGTACCTGTGCAAGACTAAAGGGGGAGGAGCCGGTACACCTGTGCAAAACAGAAGGGGAGGAGCCGGTACACCTGTGCAAGACGGAAGGGGAGGAGCCGGTACACTTGTGCAAGACTGAAGGGGAGGAGCCGGTACACTTGTGCAAGACTGAAGGGGAGGAGCCGGTACACTTGTGCAAGACTGAAGGGGAGGAATCGGTACAACTGTGCAAGACTGAAGGGGAGGAACCGGTACACCTGTGCAAGACTGAAGGGGAGGAACCAGTAAGACTGTGCAAGACTGAAGGGGAGGAACCAGTAAGACTGTGCAAGACTGAAGGGGAGGAGCGGGTACACCTGTGCAAGACAGAAGGGGAGGAGCCGGTACACCTGTGCAAGACTGAAGGGGAGGAACCAGTAAGACTGTGCAAGACTGAAGGGGAGGAACCAGTAAGACTGTGCAAGACTGAAGGGGAGGAGCCGGTACACCTGTGCAAGACAGAAGGGGAGGAGCCGGTACACCTGTGCAAGACAGAAGGGGAGGAGCCGGTACACCTGTGCAAGACTGAAGAGGAGGAGCCAGTACACCTGTGCAAGACTGAAGGGGAGGAGTTGGTACACCTGTGCAAGACTGAAGGGGAGGAACCAGTAAGACTGTGCAAGACTGAAGGGGAGGAGCCGGTACACCTGTGCAAGACAGAAGGGGAGGAGCCGGTACACCTGTGCATGACAGAAGGGGAGGAGGCCGGTACACCTGTGCAAGACTGAAGAGGAGGAGCCGGTACACCTGTGCAAGACTGAAGGGGAGGAGTTGGTACACCTGTGCATGACTGAAGGGGAGGAGCCGGTACACCTGTGCAAGACTGAAGCGGAAGAGCAGGTACACCTGTGCAAGACTGAAGGGGAGGAGCCGGTACACCTGTGCAAGACTGAAGGGAAAGCCGGAGTCCGGAGTTTGGAATTTCTGTCTCTCAATCAATGCTTTTAATCCTTATGCTGCTAGCATTAATAAACAGATAGCAAAGTATATTATATTTACTTGTTTTAAACTGATTTTTTACCTTTCTTAAGTTGCATCCTGGTTTCAGTTCCTAGGGAAATAATGTCATACATCATTCCCTCTTCAGGAGGGGAGGAGGTTTTTTTTTCAACAAACCACACCCTCCTGTCTGCATGCCTGAGCTAAGGGCAGATGGATTCCAGGAAGTAAATTCTACATGAAACATCTGCCCTTACTCAACATGGCCACTGTCAGGGGGTGTATTTTAAAGTGACTTCTCAGCAAAATAAATTATGTAGAAATGGATGGAGATATAGATGGATGGAGACATGGATGGATGGAGACACGGATGGATGGATGGAGACATGGATGGATGGAGACATGGATGGAGGGAGACATGGATGGAGGGAGACATGGATGGAGGGAGACATGGATGGATGGAGGCATGGATGGATGGAGGCATGGATGGATGGAGACAAGGATGGATGGAGACAAGGATGGATGGAGACAAGGATGTATTTGGGAGTTTACTTTGAATAATAAAAATGAATTCAACTGTGTTTTCGGTTTCCGGTGCTGAGAGGCAGCGCAGTTCCGCTTTAATATTTCCACAAACACGCTCTCACTCTCTCTTTTTTTTTTTTTTTGTGAGATGTTCATAGAAATGAAAGTGTCATTCCAACTCAGCAATTCTACTCTTCTCATTTCAAGTTCATCTCCAGTCGGCTCAAAAAAAACGGCAGTTTAGGCAAGTCTTTGAATTCGGAGGGGGGAGGTGGAGGGGCTGGGAGATTACTTTTTTTGTTTTGATGGAAAACTTTTACGAAGTAAAAAAAAAAGTCCGTTTCAGATTGGCCCGGCTTTAATGCGAGCCCGAGGAACCAGATGACAGACGGAATTCAATATCAGTTTCACGTAGAGAGAGGAGGCCGGGAAGCTCGCTGAAGAGGTGGTGGAGTTATTTATTCTGTAAGATTAGCCCCTCTGGATGGTAAGCCTCCCATGTCTCGGCGCGGAGCATCAAAAGGCACCAACATGGAGTCATTAGGAGATATTCATGGGCTTTGTTGGGTTGTCAAATTTCGAGTCCTGATCTCAGTATAAATTGTTCCTTCTACTTGAAAGCCAATTCCGCTACAAACCGACGTTTCAGTATGGCGCGGCTGCCGCTACGTTCGGGGCCCATGGTGGCTCCTTTAGAGCTTACACCAACTTTAATCCCTTCAACTGATCTAATATCCTCTTCCAAAGTCTGAAGCAAGCTAAGAAAACTAAAATCATGCAGGCAAACGTTTTCGATCATTTGTGTCAGATCAGACAACGCTCAAATATTAAGGACTTTTTTTTTTAACAAAGGGCGTACCAAAATCATTTTTTTTTAATCCTCTTTAGCAAAAAAAAGTTGAAATGGAAAGTAGATGGAGCGTTCGGGAAATAGGAATTTTGAGACAGATCTACTTTCTCTTGAAGTACAATTCCAACATAAAGATAACTGGTAAAAGGAGCTCTGCAATTGGCTGGATTTTGGTGGCAAAAGCGCAAGTCCTTACCCCACTCCTGTCCTTCGCAGAATTAGTCCCTTCTGCTGAGGCTGCCATATTGTGGCCACTCCATGCCAGAGGCCTCCACACGGCATTCCTGGCCATTGAATTCCAACATAAAGCTAACTTGTAAGAGGAGCTCTGCAATTGGCTGGATTTTGGTGGCAAAAGCGCAATTCCTTACCCCACTCCAGTCCTTTGTAGAATTAGTCTCTTCTGCTGAGGCTGCCATATTGTGGCCACTCCATGCCAGAGGCCTCCACACGGCATTCCTGGCCCTTGACCTTTAAAGCCCCAAGGAAGGAATGGAGAGCACAAAGGCATAGAGCAGGCGTGTCCAGCTGTTGTTGAAACTACAAGTCCCATCATGCCTCTACCTTTGGGAGTCATGCTTGTTAACTGTCAATCTTGCAATGCCTCATGGGACTTGTTTCGCAACAGCTGGAAGGCCACCAGTTTGACACCCCTGGCCTAGAGCATTACCGTATCATTTATTGGATAGAAAACATACTCACAAATGCCAAGGAATAAAAGCGTAGTGCAACCACTGAAACCACAATGGTGATCCAGAAGAAAGAACTTGCAGGGTCCTTACGTGAATCAGACTGACGCGTTTTGAGGAACATGCCCTCTTCTTTAGGGCAAAAGAGTCACCACCATCTTTCTCTTGTTATATAAAGAAAGTTTCTTCTATTCCCCTGGAGGATCCTGGAAGAGGTGCCCCCCCCCCCCCCCCGAGGTGACTACCTACTGTCTACTATAGGTGATTAACTACGTATTGTCAAGTGACTCCGGATTGTACAGTATGTCGATGTGATGGGACTTTGTCAGTGGGAAGAATGTCCCTTACATTGGGGGTCAGTGGGAAGAATGTCCCTTACATTGGTGGTCAGTGGGAAGAATGTCCCTTACATTGGTGATCAGTGGGAAGAATGTCCCTTACATTGGGGGTCAGTGGGAAGAATGTCCCTTACATTGGGGGTCAGTGGGAAGAATGTCCCTTACATTGGTGGTCAGTGGGAAGAATGTCCCTTACATTGGGGGTCAGTGAGAAGAATGTCCCTTACATTGGGGGTCAGTGGGAAGAATGTCCCTTACATTGGGGGTCAGTGGGAAGAATGTCCCTTACATTGGGGATCAGTGGGAAGAATGTCCCTTACATTGGGGGTCAGTGGGAAGAATGTCCCTTACATTGGTGGTCAGTGGGAAGAATGTCCCTTACATTGGTGATCAGTGGGAAGAATGTCCCTTACATTGGGGGTCAGTGAGAAGAATGTCCCTTACATTGGGGGTCAGTGGGAAGAATGTCCCTTACATTGGGGGTCAGTGGGAAGAATGTCCCTTACATTGGGGATCAGTGGGAAGAATGTCCCTTACATTGGGGATCAGTGGGAAGAATGTCCCTTACATTGGGGATCAGTGGGAAGAATGTCCCTTACATTGGTGGTCAGTGGGAAGAATGTCCCTTACATTGGTGATCAGTGGGAAGAATGTCCCTTACATTGGGGGTCAGTGAGAAGAATGTCCCTTACATTGGGGGTCAGTGGGAAGAATGTCCCTTACATTGGGGGTCAGTGGGAAGAATGTCCCTTACATTGGGGGTCAGTGGGAAGAATGTCCCTTACATTGGGGATCAGTGGGAAGAATGTCCCTTACATTGGGGATCAGTGGGAAGAATGTCCCTTACATTGGTGATCAGTGGGAAGAATGTCCCTTACATTGGGGGTCAGTGGGAAGAATGTCCCTTACATTGGGGGTCAGTGGGAAGAATGTCCCTTACATTGGGGGTCAGTGGGAAGAATGTCCCTTACATTGGTGATCAGTGGGAAGAATGTCCCTTACATTGGAGGTCAGTGGGAAGAATGTCCCTTACATTGGTGGTCAGTGGGAAGAATGTCCCTTACATTGGTGATCAGTGGGAAGAATGTCCCTTACATTGGGGGTCAGTGGGAAGAATGTCCCTTACATTGGTGGTCAGTGGGAAGAATGTCCCTTACATTGGTGGTCAGTGGGAAGAATGTCCCTTACATTGGGGGTCAGTGGGAAGAAAGTCCCTTACATTGGGGGTCAGTGGGGGAAGAATGTCCCTTACATTGGTGATCAGTGGGATGAATGTCCCTTACATTGGGGATCAGTGGGAAGAATGTCCCTTACATTGGTGATCAGTGGGAAGAATGTCCCTTACATTGGGGGTCAGTGGGAAGAATGTCCCTTACATTGGGGGTCAGTGGGAAGAATGTCCCTTACATTGGAGGTCAGTGGGAAGAATGTCCCTTACAATGGTGATCAGTGGGAAGAATGTCCCTTACATTGGGGGTCAGTGGGAAGAATGCTTCTTACATTGGGGGTCAGTGGGAAGAATGTCCCTTACATCGGGGATCAGTGGGAAGAATGTCCCTTACATTGGAGGTCAGTGAGAAGAATGTCCCTTACATTGGGGGTCAGTGGGAAGAATGTCCCTTACATTGGTGGTCAGTGGGAAGAATGTCCCTTACATTGGGGGTCAGTGGGAAGAATGTCCCTTACATTGGGGGTCAGTGGGAAGAATGTCCCTTACATTGGGGATCAGTGGGAAGAATGTCCCTTACATTGGGGGTCAGTGGGAAGAATGTCCCTTACATTGGGGATCAGTGGGAAGAATGTCCCTTACATTGGGGGTCAGTGGGAAGAATGTCCCTTACAATGGTGATCAGTGGGAAGAATGTCCCTTACATTGGGGGTCAGTGGGAAGAATGTCCCTTACATTGGGGGTCAGTGGGAAGAATGTGAGCTTGTTATCTTCCTCTGTCCTCCCCTCCTGTTTAGTGCTAGTTTAGTCCTAGCTAGACCCACCCACTCCTTTCACATTCTGTGTTAGTATTTTGCAAGGCTATTGTCTTCTTACAGGGCAGAAGACTGAAATGATATTGTCTGTACTGCAATTAGCTGAAGTAAAATTGCGCTGGGATCAATTACTGCGTTTTTTATTGAAGAGTTAAGCTGCCGGTGGATGGTGAAAGTCAGCAGGTAACCATACTATCCAGACAGACTAGTGAGCCAACATTTAGTAGCGGTTTTAGGCCCCTACAACTTGTTTACTAATGTGATTTTGATATCTTCCTCTGTCCTCCCCTCCTGTTTTATATCCTGCAGATATAGGACTTTTTTTGGGAACGTGGCATAATGCTTCTAGTGGCAGGTGGTGCCCACGGAGGAAAAAAAAACTCTGATATATGTGGCGGAACAATGTATAATGTTTTCTAGTGTTTAGGAATTCATACGTTTTTGTTTTTCTCCCTCCGGCACACGGCGTACAATAAATCGCAGACTTCTCCGGGTCCTCGCACCTCGGCAGGCTAAAGACCTGGTATTCTATGCCTGCAGCTAAATCACTTCAGCTGCTTCCTGCATCCCCGCGCTCATCCATCATTTACATCTTAATCGGATGAGCCGAGGAAAGGTGCGTTTTGTGACTGACGCAGTCAAGCGATACGCCGAAACGCCCTTAACTGTTCGTCTGCCGGGCGATTCATCCAATGAGATTCCAACCCGCTACGCAGCAAGAGCCGTCAGCAGATGCTCTGAGCCATTCCAGGTGGAAGTACTGAACCCGCCGAGCCTCCAACTCTACACAAACCATTTTTAACCACTTCCAGTCCGGACTCTTCCCCCCCTTCCAGTCTGGACTCTTCCCCCCCTTTCCAGTCCGGACTCTTCCCCCCCCTTCCAGTCCGGACTCTTCCCCCCCCCTTTCAGTTCGGACGCTTTCCCCCCCCTTCCAGTCCGGACGCTTTCCCCCCCTTCCACTCTGGACGCTTTCCCCCTCCCCCCCTTCCACTCCGGACGTTTTCACCCCCTTCCAGTCCGGACGCTTTCCCCCCTTCCACTCCGGACGCTTTCACCCCCTTCCAGTCCGGACGCTTTCCCCTCCCCCTCTTCCAGTCCGGACGCTTCCCCCCCTTCCAGTCCGGACGCTTTCCCCCCCTTCCAGTCCGGACGCTTTCCCCCCCTTCCAGTCCGGACGCTTTCCCCCCCTTCCAGTCCGGACGCTTTCCCCCCCTTCCACTCCGGACGCTTTCCCCCCTTTCCACTCCGGACGCTTTCCCCCCCTTCCACTCCGGACGCTTCCCCCCCCTTCCACTCCGGACGCTTCCCTCCCCTTCCACTCCGGACGCTTCCCCCCCCTTCCACTCCGGACGCTTCCCCCCCCTTCCACTCCGGACGCTTCCCCCCCCTTCCAGTCCGGACGCTTTCACCCCCTTCCAGTCCGGACGCTTTCACCCCCTTCCAGTCCGGACGCTCCCCCCCCCTTCCAGTCCGGACGCTTCCCCCCCTTCCAGTCCGGACGCTTTCCCCCCCTTCCAGTCCGGACGCTTTCACCCCCTTCCAGTCCGGACGCTTTCCCCTCCCCCCTTCCACTCCGGACGTTTTCACCCCCTTCCAGTCCGGACGCTTTCCCCTCCCCCCTTCCAGTCCGGATGCTTTCCCCCCCCCCCTTCCAGTCCGGACGCTTTCCCCTCCCCCCTTCCACTCCGGACGTTTTCACCCCCTTCCAGTCCGGACGCTTTCCCCTCCCCCCTTCCAGTCCGGACGCTTTCCCCCCCCCCTTCCACTCCGGACGCTTTCACCCCCTTCCAGTCCGGACGCTTTCCCCCCCTTCCACTCCGGACGCTTTCACCCCCTTCCAGTCCGGACGCTTTCCCCTCCCCCCTTCCAGTCCGGATGCTTTCCCCCCTTCCAGTCCGGACGCTTTCACCCCCTTCCAGTCAGGACGCTTTCCCCTCCCCCCTTCCAGTCCGGACGCTTCCCCCCCTTCCAGTCCGGACGCTTTCCCCCCCCTTCCAGTCCGGACGCTTTCCCCCCCTTCCAGTCCGGACGCTTTCGCCCCCTTCCAGTCCGGACGCTTCCCCCCCTTCCAGTCCGGACACTTTCCCCCCCTTCCAGTCCGGACACTTTCCCCCCCTTCCAGTCCGGACACTTTCCCCCCCTTCCAGTCCGGACGCTTCCCCCCCTTCCAGTCCGGACGCTTCCTCCCCTTCCAGTCCGGACGCTTCCCCCCCTTCCAGTCCGGACGCTTTCACCCCCTTCCTGTCCAGGGCAATTTTCAGCTTCCAGTGCTGTTGTATTGGATATGTTTTATAGCAGAAAGTAGAAAATATGTTTGTGTTTTTTTAAATGTTCTGTCTTTTTCATTTATATATTTAAAAAATTAAAAAAAAAACCTTGCAGCGATCACATACCACCAAAAGAAAGTTCTAGTTGTTAGAAAAAAAAATCATATAAATTTTATTTTAGGTACAGCGTTGCACGATCGTGCAATTGCCAGTTAAAGTAGCGCAGTGCCGCAGAGCAAAAAATGGCCTGGTCATGAAGGGTATAAAACCTTTCCGGAGGTCAAGTGGATAATATGCTCCATTCGGTTCTTCATGCTACTCTCACTGGAGAACCTTGGGAGGCTCTCCTGCATAAGCCCATCCCACATCTATAACTATCAATGGAAGCCGGCGGGGAACGTATTCCTAGCAGCCCGGCAGACCCTGGTTAAGGCCTGGAAGACAGCAACCGATACCCTTTGCCAGGGCTTTTTTTTTTCAGCGGAAATGCGGGGGGAACGCAGTTCTGGCACCTGCAGCACTGAATGTGTGTAATAGCAAGGGGTGTGCTGGAGGGTCTATTGATGTTGGCTGCTGTGGGATCTATTGTCATTGGTGGGGGACATGTTTTCGTGTAAGGGTCTATTTTTGCTGATGGGAAATCTATTGTTGCTGGTAGGGATCTATTGTTGAGAGAGAGCTGGAATGGTGCCCCATCGTTGGGGTCAGTGGCTGGAATGGTGCCCCATCGTTGGGGTCAGTGGGAGGAATGGTGCCCCATCATTGGTGTCAGTGGGAGGAATAGTGCCCCATCCTTGGTGTCAGTGGGAGGAATAGTGCCCCATCCTTGGTGTCAGTGGGAGGAATAGTGCCCCATCCTTGGTGTCAGTGGGAGGAATAGTGCCCCATCCTTGGTGTCAGTGGGAGGAATAGTGCCCCATCATTGGTGTCAGTGGGAGGAATAGTGCCCCATTATTGGTGTCAGAGGGAGGAATAGTGCCCCATCATTGGTATCAGTGGGAGGAATAGCGCCCCATCATTGGTATCAGTGGGAGGAATAGTGCCCTATCATTGGTATCAGTGGGAGGAATAGTGTCCCATCATTGGTGTCAGTGGGAGGAATAGTGCCCCCATCATTGGTGTCAGTGGGAGGAATAGTGCCCCATCATTGGTGTCAGTGGGAGGAATAGTGCCCCATCATTGGTGTCAGTGGGAGGAATAGTGCCCCATCATTGGTGTCAGTGGGAGGAATAGTGCCCCATCATTGGTATCAGTGGGAGGAATAGTGCCCCATCATTGGTGCCAGTGGGAGGAATAGTGCCCCATCATTGGTGTCAGTGGGAGGAATAGTGCCCCATCATTGTTATCAGCAGACGGAATAGTGCCCAATCAGTGGTGTCAGTGGGAGGAATAGTGCCCCATTGTTATCAACAGAAGGAATAGTTCCCCATCATTGGTATCAGTGGAAGGAATAATGCCCCATCATTGGTGTCAGTGAGAGAGGAATAGTGCCCCATTGTTGGTATTGGCTGAAGGAATAGTTCCCCATCATTGGTGTCAGTGAGAGAGGAATAGTGCCCCATCATTGGTGTCAGTGGGAGGAATAGTGGCCCATCATTGGTGTCAGTGGGTGGAATAGTGCCCCATCATTGGTGTCAGTGGGAGGAATAGTGCCCCATCATTGGTGTCAGTGGGAGGAATAGTGCCCCATCATTGGGAGAAATAGTGCTTATTCGCTGGTGCCAGCAGAAGAAAGAGTGCCCCATTGTTGGCATCAGCAGAAGGAGCGGGAGGAATAGTGCCCCATCATTGGTGTCAGCGGGAGGAATAGGGCCCCATCATTGGTGTCAGTGGAAGGAATAGTGCCCCGTTGTTGGTGTCAGTGGGAGGAATAGTGCCCCGTTGTTGGTGTCAGTGGAAGGAATAGTGCCCCATCATTGGTGTCAGTGGAAGGAATAGTG